ATTGGGGGGGGGGGGGGGTGGTGCCCAAATCTTGTTGTCGTTTGACAGGGCCATGAGAGTAGAGAAAACTCTTATACAAACTCTCAACTCTCATCAACTCTCATGCAACTCTTGTTCTCGTTTGACCAGGCCGTGAGAGTTGAGAAAACTGTCATGCAAACTCTTGCTTCTCAACTCTCACCAACTCTCATGTAACTCTTGTTCTAGTTTGACCGGGGCATGAGAGTTGAGAAAACTCTCATACAAACTCTCGCTTCTCAACTCTCATGCAACTCTTGTTCTCGTTTGACCGGGGCATGAGAGTTGAGAAAACTCTCATGCAAACTCTCGCTTTGTCGACTCTCATCCTCGTTTGATATATGTAAAATATAAAAGCTAGTTTGTTTTATTTGAAACTATCACAAATAAAAACCTTACTTTTAGGCAAGTGTCGTAAGTGATGATGTTCGGAAGACTTCCCTAGAAGTAAAATGGGAGAACTATATGATGGCAAACAGAAATAAAGAATTTCAAAAAACGGTAAGAAACCATTTAGTTGCACGTGTCTTGATGAAATATGTAGTAGTAGTCTTGTATTTGGAGGCAAATAAATAGAATTGAGAGATGTAAGCCCCGTTTACACTACGCTCAATTTTTGGTACGGCACGGATAAAATTGGTACCCGTACCACTTTTTTGGTTTTTTGACTACGTATTTAGGTATTAGAATGTTAGGGTTTGGAATCCAAGTGAGAATATATACATTTTAAGACCTAACCAGGAACGACTGCGAAAAATGCAGCACAAGGTCCTCTGGTAGGAGTTGAACCCGGTGCAGCGCTCTAACCAACTGAGCTACAGAGGCTGTAACCGTAGGTTCATGTATATATAGGTAATCGGGTAATTGTTTATGAATTAACAATATATATCTACACTGATATAGGTGTGAAGACTTTATTTTACACATAGGGGCAGGGGTAAAAACCTTAGTTTACACTGATATAGGTGTGATATAGGGGCAGGGGTATAAACCTTATCTTACGCTGATATGTGCATTAGGTAGTCCAAGAACCAAAAAGTGGTACTGTACCAAAAATTGAGCGTAGTGTAAACGGGGCTTTCATTTTCTTACTCCTATAAGTTCAACATTTTTGACGTTTACCGTCCTCTGTTGTGTTGCTAACTAAACTCCACCGATACCATATATATTTGGATATGTATCAATCCTCTACCTATTCCCTATAGCCTGAATTAAAGAATCTGATCCGCGCCGGCGTTCCTCATGACCTGCGTGCAAAAATATGGTTGAAATGCGTCAACTGTCACGTGAAACGCACGAAGCGCGTCTCTGGGTCTGGTTACTATAAACGATTGCTCGCTTCAAAGAAAGACTCTTTCTGTCCGGCTGAGAAACAAATTGGACTGGACTTGTTGAGAACTTTACCCAATAATAAATACTATGATAAACAGAATGCGGATGGGGTGAGTAGCAAGGCTTTTGTTGATGGAAATTTTGAATGTAAATTTTACACACGTAAAATTTCACAACTTGTCAACAACACGTGTTCGCAACAGACTTGTAGCAAGCTTGTCAACAAGTTGTAACAATGCTGTTATTTTATCAAGTTGCTACAAGCTTGTCGCTCACAACTTGTTGATGGCTTGTTAGCAGACTTGCTACAACAAGTCAACAGGATGTATCCCATGCTTGTCACAAGTTGTCAACAGGTTTGGAACAATTTGTTGACAACTTGTAACAACCTTGTCGAAATTATCGGACTTGTTGCAAGGTTGTTCTGACAAGTCCGTTACATGCTTGATATAACAAGATTGTTACAACCTTGTGTTGACAACCTTGTAACATCTTTGTTGTATCATGGCTGTAACAAACTTGTTAGCACAGTCTTGTAACAAGGCTGATAGTGCCATGAAGCTTGTTACAAGTTGTTAACAGCTTGTTTCAAACTTGTTACAACAAACTGGGAACAAACAATGCGAAGACAACTTGTTGACAGCTTGTGAACAGACTTGTAACAACTTGTTTGCAGACTTGATACAAGCTGTGCGTTTTTACGCGTGCAGCCGTTGCGAGAAATGCAACTATATGAACTCTGGCTGGAATGGAACCTGCTGTCCTGCCATTCCGATATATGATCCATGTTGCTTGCTTTTACCAGATTGATCAACTACGTCGCGTTCTGTTGGCTTTCAGTTTACACAATAAAGAAATCGGTTACTGTCAGGTAAGAACAATTTCACTCTAAATTATTTATAAATTATTTGAAATAACCACATAAAAACGAGGGCATTGGGATTAATAGTTATATGAGTATCTTGTCTCCTAGGGTCTCAATCGTTTGGCTGCAATTGCACTTTTGTACCTTAGTGAAGAAGAATCGTTTTGGTAAGAAACATTCTCCTGTATTCTACAAGCTCACCACACTCAAAGAGTGGAGGTTCATTCTGAGCTTCTCTTGAGTGTCAATGGACAATGCTGTTTTTGAATAGCTGGAGGGTGAGCAATCACATAGTAAGGTACGGCACTGACTCTCCAGCTATTCAAAAACAGCACTGACACTCAAGGGAAGCTCAGATTGAACCTCCACTCTTTCAGAGTGAGTGAACTTTTAGAATACAGCTTTAAGGCTGATTTACACAACACAAATTTTGCCTAAAACTGTCGCATGCAACCTGCTTACAACTTGAGTTGTACTGTGTAAGTCAAGCATACAACTTGCTTATGTTGTCGTAGGTAAGTTGTGTGCTTGATTTACACAGTACAACTCAAGTTGTAAGCAGGTTGCATGCGACAGTTTTAGGCAAAAGTTGTGTGTGTAAATCTGCTTTTATGGGTCCAAATTTTATCGGAAATTATCTTACTTTGTATATTTATGATTTAACAAAATTACAGGGCACTCGTCGCGTTGGTCGAGCATGTAATGCCCATAGCTTACTACACACAGACATTGGTTGGTTCTCAAGCAGACCAGGTTAGTTTATACTAATCATTAAATAACACTTAACTGCATATGTATACCAAATTAAACTTGCTCACATTTAGAGAGTGCTCAAAGATTTACTGGCAGAAAAAATCCCGAAAGTCACTGACCATTTGGACACACTAAAGTACGTTTACCATCTATTTTGTGTTTAGTTTTCCTCCCGTAGTGTTTAACAGAATTATTTTGAGTCTTCCAGATGTATTCGTCTAAGCTGTGAAATAACTTGTGCAATAAAACAACCGTACTTTTAGTATCGATCTGTCGTTGGTGACGTTCAATTGGTTCTTAACTGCATATGTCGACAGCGTTCCGATTGAGGTTTGTATATACTCTGCTGTTTATAACACGAACTAAAATAACATGAACTGAACGGGAATGAAGAGAATGCTAATGAAATTCAATCACCTTTTTCAAGATTGTTCTGCGCATTTGGGACGCTCTTCTTTACGAAGGAACCAAGGTATTAATAGTTGTTCTTGGTATTCCGGAGGTTATGTTTCCGACTGCGTGTTTGGGATTTTCAAAACAATGAAAAAAGACAATGGAACTTTCCGATCAGACAATGGAACTTTCTGAATCTTGACTGGATAGCACTTTATTGCAAAGGACTTTTTCCCGTTAACTGAAGGTCAAAGTATTTGTCCTAGATTTTGTTCCGGTTTGCTGTCTCGATATTCTACGTCAACGAAACAAAAATTCTCGAAATTACAGATCACATGAAAATGTTCACATTTCTACGAAATATGCCCTCTCTACTCATCAATGATGACAAGTTTTACCAGGTGAGAACATGTTTTCAAGTTCTTCCTAGAGGTCCAGTAAGGATCATCTCTTATTGATCCAGTGTTACTACAGGAGGAAACCTAAACTAAACTAACTTTATTTATACTGGATAGCTCTATCAGTACTAAACTGTTCTTCCTAGAGGTCCAGTAAGGATCATCTCTTATTGATCCAGTGTTACTACAGGAGGAAACCTAAACTAAACTAACTTTATTTATATTGGATAGCTCTATCAGTACTAAACTGTTCTTCCTAGAGGTCCAGTAAGGATCATCACTTATTGATCCAGTGTTACACCAGGACTGTGGAAACCTAAACTAAACTAACTTTATTTATACTGGATAGCTCTATCAGTTCTAAACTGTTCTTCCTAGAGGTCTAGTAAGGATCATCTCTTATTGATCTAGTGTTACTACAGGAGGAAACCTAAACTAAACTAACTTTATTTATTTATACTAGATAGCTTTATCACTTCTAAACTGTTCTTCCTAGAGGTCCAGTAAGGATCATCTCTTATTGATCCAGTGTTACTACAGGAGGAAACCTAAACTAAACTAACTTTATTTATACTGGATAGCTCTATCAGTACTAAACTGTTCTTCCTAGAGGTCCAGTAAGGATCATCTCTTATTGATCCAGTGTTACTACAGGAGGAAACCTAAACTAAACTAACTTTTATTTATACTGGATAGCTCTATCAGTTCTAAACTGTTCTTCCTAGAGGTCCAGTAAGAATCATCTCTTATTGATCCAGTGTTACTACAGAAGGAAACCTAAACTAAACTAACTTTATTTATACTGGATAGCTCTATCAGTTCTAAACTGTTCTTCCTAGAGGTCCAGTAAGGATTATCTCTTATTGATCCAGTGTTACTACAAGAGGCAACCTAAACTAACCTAACTTTATTTATACTGGATAGCTCTATCGGTTCTAAACTGTTCTTCCTAGAGGTCCAGTAAGGATCATCTCTTATTGATCCAGTGTTACTACAGGAGGAAACCTAAACTAAACTAACTTTATTTATACTGGATAGCTCTATCAGTTCTAAACTGTTCTCCCTAGAGGTCCAGTAAGATCATCTCTTATTGATCCAGTGTTACTACAGGAGGAAACCTAAACTAAACTAACTTTATATATACTGGATAGCCCTATCAGTTCTAAACTGTTCTTCCTAGAGGTCCAGTAAGGATCATTTCTTATTGATCCAGTGTTACTACAGGAGGAAACCTAAACTAAACTAACTTTATTTATACTGGATGACTCTATCAATTCTATATGTTCTTCCTAGAGGTCCAGTAAGGATCATTTCTTATTGATCCAGTGTTACTACAGGAGGAAACCTAAACTAAACTAACTTTAGTTATACTGGATAGCTCTATCAGTTCTAAACTGTTCTTCCTAGAGGTCAAGTAAGGATCATCTCTTATTGATGCAGTGTTACTACAGAAGGAAACCTAAACTAAACTAACTTTAGTTATACTGGATAGCTCTATCAGTTCTAAACTGTTCTTCCTAGAGGTCAAGTAAGGATCATCTCTTATTGATGCAGTGTTACTACAGAAGGAAACCTAAACTAAACTAACTTTAGTTATACTGGATAGCTCTATCAGTTCTAAACTGTTCTTCCTAGAGGTCAAGTAAGGATCATCTCTTATTGGTCCAGTGTTACTACAGAAGGAAACCTAAACTAAATTAACTTTATTTATACTGGATAGCTCTATCAGATTTAAATTGTTCTTCCCATCCCGGAAAAAACATGCGGTGTTTGGTAGAGTCAAACTGGAAGCACTCTTCTCACATGTGACTGAGGTGAAATTATAATCAGACCAGTGCATATTGGAATACAATCTCATTCACAGAGATGAAAGAAGATTTAGAAGACAGATGCACTAACCGCTGTGCTTACAAAACAAGCCACTCACTTCATCAACTTTTTGTTCTTCCTTATTTCCTTTTTCTGTAGTTTCCTCCTGTTTAGGAGCTTCCACTTTTTTCTCCTCCGACTTCTCTTCGTGTTTCCAAACTTTGAACTTCTCATCAAGTTGTAAGATTAATCTTGTTGCCATGGTAATATCACTCTCGACCCAACCTTTCAACACGGCCGCTCCCGACACGGTTCGTACACGCTTCGCAAGTTCTCGGTTCACCATCGGATTGAGCTCCACGTCTTTAATCTACGAAACAAATAAGTTTGGAAACAAATAGTAAAGTGTGATTTGCACACGGTCTCTCTCACACCAAAATGTTCCTTACATATTTACCTTTTTAAAAAAGATATATATAAATAGGGACTGTTTGTCCCTATGAAAGTGTCGTACTAATAGGTACAAACATACTTTTATTCTTTATTAATGGTTTTATTCTTTCATTTTATTTTTTATTAATATGCTCTGATGCAAGGAATTTTAAACTTCAGTGAGTGAGTTTCTAAATATCGTTTGGTAACTTCATTACTTGTATATTATATAGATTTTAACTTTTTATGGAACTTATGTAAACATATCATAATTATTGTATTAATGCCAGGATATGGGAATAAACCATTAAAAAATATTTAAAATTGAAACTGTACCTTAACATTGTTCAGAGACCAGCAAATATCTTTAATATTCACGTCCGGTTTAAACGTTATCCAGCCTCGACGGGAGAACCTAAAAAGATATAAGTTAGCTTAACATCACACATTTTCGCATTCAAAGGTCAACGAATGTTGAAGAAAATTGACGGATTCTGTTCTTACTTCTTGTCAGGTGCTGGATCAGAAAGCACAACTCTCATGTAACCTGGATAACGAGCACAGAGCTAGAAAAATATGAAATTTCAAAGATTGAAACGAAAGAACAGAATGGACCAATTCCCAATTAACCAAAATTTTGAACTCAACAAGTCTAGACAAAATTTCATCACAGCTTGATCACAAAATTAGTAATATTCCAAAGTTTCGTTGCGAAATGTTGTAAAATGCGGATAATATAGCCCTGCGAAGTTTGTAATTTTCAGTTATTTTGTATTACGCACGGAAGTGGTAACCATTTCCCGTTTGTAATACAAAATGACTGAAAATTGCAAACTTCGCAAGGATATATTATCCGCATTTTACAACATTTCGCAACGAAACTTTGGAATATTACTAATTTTGTGATGCTCTTTCAAGCTGTGATAAAATTTTTGTCTAGACTTGTTGAGTTCAAAATTTTTGTCTAGACTTGTTGAGTTCAAAATTTTGGTTAATTGGGGATCGGTCCATTGAAGTTATCCATAAATCCAATGGCAACTGGCAAGGGACCGTAGACAAGCTAGCAATTTGTAAGATGTACACACGTAAAAACACACAAACAGATCTGCAAACAAGTTGTAACAAGATTGTTGTTCAAATCGATATCAGAATGTATTCGCACTGTAAATCTGGAACAAGTTGTTATCACCTTGTTACAAGGTTGATGACGGTAACAGACTTGTTACAAGTTGTTCCAACAAGACTACTACAGGCTGTTCATAACAAGTTGCTACGAACTTGTTGTTATCAACTTGTTACGTGCAGACGATATCAGACTTGTTACAAGTTGTTCCAACAAGACTACTACAGGCTGTTCGTAACAAGTTGCTACGAACTTGTTGTCATCAACTTGTTACGTGTTGACGATATCAGACTTGTTGGAACAAGTTGCGAGTTTGTTGGCCTCATCAACCCTGTTACAAGATGATGACAACTTGTTCCAGACTTGCCAACAACTTAGAACAAGCAGTACGATCATATTCTGACTTCTGAGCAGTGACAAGCTATAAGATTTTTACGCGTGTACGTGGAGTTTAGCAACATTCTCACTAGTTGATCGATCTGCCCGATCTCTGAGCATGTACTTACGGAGTCGATATCATAGTGAGATATCTTGGGTGGAACATTTCGTACAAACAACGAGACAGTCAAATGCAATGCTCGTGGTGTCGTTATTTCAGGTTCTGCGTCTGAGTCCTCATCGCTATCCTCCTCTTCGTCCTCTTCCTTCTTTTCCGCATTCTCTGTAGTGTCCCTGGAGGAACAGTTTAGCAACAGTTGAGCAACAGAGCTTTAAGTTCGTTCATATAAATTTACTGCTTGGTTATTACTTACATGTTTTCGGCTTTCTCTTCGTCTTGTTCATTACTTTTTGCCTGTGGTATTGATTGTTCCTGGAAAATAATTTCCATAGGCAATAAGCTGGCGTTGCTACATACTAGAGTAACTAGACACATTCTGTAACCATACCTCTGATTTCCCTGACGCTTCCTCAGTTTTGGCTTCAGCAACTTCAGCTTTTGCTTCAGAACTGTCTTGAGATGTGACGTCAGTTACTTCGTTACCAGACTGTTCGCTTCCACTCTTGCCAGCTAATTTCTCTTGCCCGTTTTCAACTGCCTTTTCACTTTTTACAGCATCAGATGTTTCACCCCCGTCATTTTTAATACCTTCCCCACCGTCCTTCGATGATGGCAGAACTTCATCAGATGAGATGGGTTCAACTCCAGGGGGGTGCAGACTTTCTTCAGCGACTCGCTCTTGAGCGTCTGATTTCGCGGATTCTTCTCCGGGGGGTGCGGGTTCCGTTTCAGAATCTGATTCGCTCTCGCTTTCAGCATTGTCGTCACGGTAATAAGCATCTCTGTGCCGACGCTTGCGAGGCTTCAAAGATAATTGAAAAACGAAACTTAAATTACAGGCTAAATTTATATGGAAGGCAAAGAAGATTTATCTGTAAACTGACAGGTGATAGAACCAATTAAACAGCATTTGAAAAAGGGAGTTCTGGCATTTGAAAACAGAGTTTTGGCATTTTAGCGTTTGAAAAAGGGAGTTTTGGCATTTGAAAACAGAGTTTTGGCATTTGAAAACGGAGTTCTGACTTTTGAAATGGTAGTTTTGGCTTTTGAAAACAGAGTTTTGGCATTTGTAAAGGGAGTTTTGGCATTTGTAAAGGGAGTTTTGGCTTTTGAAAAGGGAGTTTTGGCATTTGTAAAGGGAGTTTTGGCTTTTGAAAAGGGAGTTTTGGCATTTGAAAACAGAGTTTTGGCATTTGAAAAGGGAGTTTTGGCATTTGAAAAGGGCATTTTGCCATTTGAAAAGGGCATTTTGCCATTTGAAAAGGGCGTTTTCAATTGCCACTTGAAAAGGGAGTTTTGGCATTTCAAAGGGAGTTCTGGCATTTGAAAAGAGAGTTTTGCCATTTGAAAAGGGAGTTCTGCCATTTGAAAAGGGAGTTTTGCCAATTGAAAAGGGAGTTTTGCCATTTGAAAAGGGAGTTTTGCCATTTGAAAACAGAGTTTTGGCATTTGAAAACAGAGTTTTGGCATTTGAAAAGGGAGTTCTGGCATTTGAAAAGGTAGTTTTGGCATTTCAAAACAGAGTTTTGGCATTTGAACCCAATTATATTTCCAATTCTAGCACAGACACGTACCTTTCCATCGGCTGGTTTATCTTGCCCGTCTTTCTGTGGTTTCTGATCATCGTTAATCTTTGTTTGTTCAGATGAAGGATCCGAGCTATCTTCAGGCTTGGCTGCTTCACCTTCGCTGGCAGCTGGCTTAACCGAAGCAGATGCAGGGGCGGGGGTCTCGGGTAAGGGGACAGATGATGGAGACACAGGGTTAACACTTTTCTCTACAGAAGTGTCTGGTTGAGCAGCACCCTCAGTTTGCTGTGTTCCATCAGTGTTTTGACCTTCTGTGTTGGCTTGTTCACTTTCCTTGTAATTCTCGTCAAGAACTTGCAAATCAAAATCTGTCCCTCTCTCGAACTTTATCACCGCTGGTGGAAAAAAATTTTACAACTTTGAGAAAATGTCATTCCATCAAACATGGCAAGAAGAGACCTTCGACGTTTCAATGTTTTGGAAAAATCAAATAGCAAACCATCCAAAATGTTGCTGTTGAACTGTAAGTTTTAAAGACGTCACTAACCTGCATCCAGTAACTTTGTAATCTCTTCCCCTTGTTCAGCAGTCAGAGTAAACCTGTCAAACCAGCCTGACTGCAGCAGATCAACAAACACAGATGCTCGTTTTCGAACTGCATCGTTTAGTTTATTCTGATAAGCAAGAGCCTCGCCGGGGTGATACTTGTTACGAAACCTAAATAACATTGTTTCACATATTTTATTAACTACGTCTTTAGGAACCTGCGAAAGTTTTTATCCACGAAAAACTGCTAACAGTAGCAACTGATAAAGTAAGCTGTTGTGGTTGGTGTCTCAACTAGGCCTAAAAAAGGTACCTGTGGTACCCGACCGACCCTATTTTTTTCTGCCATGCTACCCTATTTTCTCCAGGTGGTTGCGGGCTGCCAAAATGGTGGCTGTTGTCACACTAATTATTGAAAAAACCATGAAAAAAATATTCAAAAAAAATTTTATTTCCGACCTACTGACCCTAATTTTTTTGCAAATTATGAAACCGGGAACCACAGGTATTTTTTTATGCCCTAATATTTTCAGGTAGTTCAAACACAAACCATGGCAGCTTATTCAGCGATTGTTTTTACAAATCGTTACATTCAACAAGTTCTTAACAAGAGTGGTTACAAACAGTGACACAAATAATACTCTTTACATTATAACAACTTACTGCTGATGATCAACATACTATAAGCCTGCCGTCTCCAGGGAAAATGTTGCATTAAACATGCAGTAACAATGGCAATGATTTAAACCTTGCCAATCAGTGAGTAAAGATGCACTTTTTAAATGACAACATAGTTGATGTACATAGCCTTTGTGTATTTGGCATTTGATCAAATAATTTTCAATATATTTAGGGATTTTCCCCTCATGCACAGACATAAAAACACTTCGGAAAATCTTGAAGTTGCCAAAACCAAATTGGGCTACAAAGACTACATTAATAAAAGTAAAGATAGTGGGCGTCAGCATTATAAAGCTAGAATAAACAATATGCAGAATGCAAAGAATAAAGAAAGATATATAAAATATGATTAATAACACAATTGGTACTATCACATAAACACGTCATGCATATGGACCAACTATTCCTATTAATGAAATATGATTAGCTTTCCAAATCAGAAAAAAACATAGACAAAGAATCTCTAAGCAAAATAACGCTGCTTGAAATTTATTAACAATTTAAAAGAAAGTAGAAGCGGCACCATTTAGAACAAAACGGCATTAGTGGGCCTTGAATTTTGTGTTGATTTTCATTGGTGGCCATTGATGGTTTTAATTGTCTTCTGCATTATTTTTTAAAGCATTTCAGAGCAATTTCACCATGATTATTGCCACAAATGTCATTCAAAATTAAATTTTGCACGCATAATTTCTGACGAGCCTAGAATTTCACGCATTGCTGGCATATTGACGCACTCCCGAGGGAAAAGCCTTGTTTGCTATATAATTTTGTTTGCTGTAACAATCAAAACATATTTCTACATATACATACCATTCCTCCTCTTTGTGCGCAGTGAAGAAGTCAGCAATTTGCGTCTTACGAAACTCAAGTTTATATTCTTGATATTTACGCACAGCTTCCATGTCTTCGATGTCATCAGCTTGAGAGCTCAGGAACTGTTTAAAGGTCAACATCGCTGGACCAGTGTTCGTCTCTGTTTGTCTGTAAAGATTGTTAACACTTTAAGTTGCTTTATTATTCTACTCTGTCTAACACCAGACAATTTTACTTGTCAAGAGGAGAATGCTGGCACTCAATTGGCTAACCATTAAGTTCCAATGCACCTAGTGGCGTAGCCAGCCCGACAATTTAGTTCCGCTTTGCAAATTCAAAATTATTATCATTATTCATTTCTTTAGAAATTGATTGTTCTCACAGTCAATGAACACAAAAATGTTTGCATAGTGGGACTAAATCGTCGGACTGGCTACACTACTGAATGCACCCCGGCGCACATTATTTTACTCTCTCTAATGCCAGACAATTTTAGCTGCATCAACCCTACTCTGCTTTCCCTAGAGATCCAGCCATCCCTAAAGTCTATATTCACTGATAAACATACTGTTGGTTATTAAACGACTGTTGCTGGTTATCCACTGACGATCCCCATTGGTTTGTTGCTTGATTGTTGTATCCACCATAATCACCACCCTGCTGCTGATTATTATATCCCTGATTATCCCTAAAACACCACAAATGCACAATCAGTCATCATGGTCTTGTTTTATAGAAACGTTGGAAATTGTGCCCCCGAGATTTCACACATATTGTAAATATACAGAAAGTACAGGGTTTGAAATAACGTTCCCTAAGTTCCCAATCATGGTGATCAGCAGTTATGACATTCCCTGCTTTTTCAGGTTAGAAACCCTGCTTTTCCACTGATCATATAAGCCATGTCTTGCCGATCATTGATCGGCTGTTATTTCAAGCCCTGGAAGCATAAAAATTGCACACCCGATAGCAGTGGCGGAAATCTTGGGGGTGAGGGGGCAGCCGCCCCCCCCTTTTGACCTAAAAGAGGGTTAAAAACAGTCTTTTCAAGTGCAAATGGGGGGGGGGGTGTATGTCGGAAATTTGAAAGTTTTGTCGGAAATTTAGGAGGCTTTGCCCCCAAAAGTGAATTTCTGCCACTGCCTGATATGGTGCAATGCAAATTTTCCACACTGGTCTACAGTGATACCCATGTTGGCATGCATCTATGTATAAAAACATCATGTATGCATTTAATGGTAACCCCTAGTGTAGCTGCAATTATATATCATGCATATAACTCATGCTGCTCAGTGACTTCAGTAATCACTAAAATCAGATTACTTCCTGCAATGACTAACTATCCAGTGTGTTTGAGATCAGTGTCAAAAATAAAAAAAACACGTGCATGTTGCAAAGGACATCTAATTAAATATTCATGGCGACCAAAACACACATTTATATCATTTATACACATACCAATCTCTTCGTTGTCTTTTCATTGGGGGCCCACCCCCTTCATGATGCCTTCCCCCACCTCCCCCATAGTTATCCCTATTCCTTCTTTGATTATTATCCCACTGCTGTTGTCTTCCCCGCCGATTATCTTGCCACGAGTCATCTCGCCTGTTTCCCCCTCCTCCGCCACCGGATCTGTTATCTCTTCGTCCCTCGTTTCTTTCCTGATAGTCGCTTCTTTCTCGACGAAATTTATCTCTCCCGCGAGGTCGGCGTTCGTGTTCATCGTCGCTGTCCATCGACCGTTTTCTTAGCTCAGAAAATGAGTGATTTTTGAGCAAAATTCGAAGATAAAATTTTATTTCCTGCAGAAAATTTCGAACTCGCGTAAAAAAGCCCCAGCAGTCTCCGCGAGTTTGCGGCGTGTTTCCATCATCAAAAAATTCCTCATTCAATAAACTCTAATTTTATACTTCTACAAAACAAAATATATTTAAAAGAAATATCGCACAAAAACTGAAATCTCTGATTCTTCTGTAGAAAATTCCATCCATTACACTATATAGTGGCTTAAAATTAACAAGAAACGTGTAAAAACTAAAAATAATAATGGAAATAAAATTGATGGAAAAAATTCCTTTGAGCGATCTTTAAATTTCCTCATTCGCTATACAAAATTCCTATTTTGAGAAATCCTAAAATTTACAAGGTACTTTTTGATTTTTGTGGTATTAAATATATCAGATATTTTTAATGAACTTGGGTGTGGGCATCCTCTATTAAGAATTAGAATGAAAATTTTACATTAGAGATCTAATCAGCTAAAACATGTTCATGACAGACTGACAGTTTTCACCCATTTCATTATTTTGTTTCATGATTTTAACATTCCTATAATTTATAGTAACAAAGGTAACCAAGCATTTGAGTTATGTGAATGAAATGGCAGTATAAATATCTGTTAGCTGATTAAAGTTGCATCACTATGAACAGCTTCTTCAATCCTAAGGACCGTGCATGCCCCCGCCAAATGAGCTTTGATTCGCCTTTAGTATTTGTTTTGCCAACTAGCTAACTTAATTGTTAATTATCGTTTAAGCATTAACATGTTGCGAATTGTGCCTTGGTCATGTCGTGAGGAATGGCTGGAAACCTACCAATACCTCTACAACTTTGATAACATTGAACAGCAGACGAAAGGTCTCCAGAGAGTAGAAGCTTGGAAAAGTCGCAGCGGAACTAAACTGCCATTGGCTGTAGAAGCGACTGCAAGTCTAATTGCGGCAGGCATGGAGGATGTCAGATCTCTTGTTAAGCCATATGTGGTTCGTCATACCATGGCAATGGCAATCGTTCGATTTGTAAATGGGATGGTCGACATGGAACAGAAGGGAGCCTATGCTAGATCAGTTCAATCTATTGCTGATGAAATTGGACTACCAGATTGGCTAGTTGATCTGCGTCACGAGGCCACACATGCGAGCTTGCCGTCCTTGGAAGTGCTTAGGGTCGGGTGTAAGTTTGCGTTGAATTGGCTACGAGACCGCTACTGGGAATCACAGATTGCTGAGTTTCATGAACGATATCAGACATTGCTCACGCTTCTTGGAAAGTATGCTAAACTCTATGAAAGTGTTAAGCACGACAAGAAAACAACAAAGAAAACAGCAAAGAAAACAAAGAATGGAAAACTCGCCCAAGAAATTGCTGATCTAGTTGGTGAATTTGATATGTGGTAAGTTCATATAATAGGAGTATATATTTGATGTGTTTTTAATCCTTTTCTTGTAGTTCAGGCACAAACCACAACAACTTATTAAAAATATTATACAGTAGGTATTCTAAAATTAAAATGAATCGGTGTTTTTTGTACGCAATGCGTACCTATTTTTACTTCTACACTGCAAAAAATGCCCAGCCTGTAACAATGTTGTTTGAAAACAGGCCTGAACAATATTTTGCTGCCCATATTGTTCAGCCTGAACAATATTCTTAACAACCAGGAACAATATGGGCAACAAAATATTGTTGTTACAGGCTGGGAGTTTTTTGTTGTGTACATGAAGTTTTTGGCCAACCGACCACCTGAAAAGACCCAATCAACAACTCTCATTTGATCTGAAATATTTCAATTATTACATTTTCCAGGCAATCATTGCTGGACTTGTCATTTGGAGAACAAGGATTGCTGTTCCCTTCCACTGAAACCCTTCAAGGAATATTTCCTAAATCTGCCGCAATTAAAACAAGAGAAATTTTGTTCGAGTTACCAAAAGATCTTCGGCAGTGGCTGAGCCCGCTTCTCAAAGCATTGCACAAAACAAATGAGCAGTTCTTATCAAATTTTGTTTCATTCCTTGTTAGGAGAGCTCACAAACTTGAACAAAACTTCAGAAATAAACTACTGGCCCATTACCATTCCTGTTTGGTTTATTATATTCTTTGCAACTGCAGTAAAAAGAATATTGAGAAAAAACAATGGAAACTTAAGGTAGAACTCGACTATTTAGCCTTGTTAGAGGTCTGCCTACAAAACCCCTCTGCAAACAGCCAACGTTTTCTGCAATTAATCATTGATAACCTTGAAACTTCAGAAAGCATGAAGGCCAAACTTTATAAGTTTTCCGCCATTAAAATTACTTTGAACAATGACAAAAGCTTAACTAAATTGACAGACAACGAAAATACAGATTTGGAAACTCTACAACAACATTTTCCACTCGTTGCTAAAAAAGTAGAGGCAAGTTTAACTGAGTCAGATGAAGACAGCTCCGTCTGGAAACAATGCCCGCCATCTTTCGCCCATAATTATAAATTTGGAGCATTTATCGGCGAAGAACCGTTGCAGAATCAAACGTTGAATCAAATGAATGATGAGGCCATGGAAGTGGAAACAAATTTCGACGACGGGACCTCCATAGAACAATGTGAGCAAGGAATAGCAGAAGAAGAAGGGGATGATAGTTCTGAAAATGAATTTGAAAATGATCTGAATGAAATGTCGGAAATATCATGTGGCTTTGAAACGAGTGATACTTCAGCAGTGAAAGAATTGACTGGAGAAATGATTAAAGACATTAGTCAAAACATTGCCATCTTTTAAGAACGAATAAATAGAGGATTTTAATGATATTTACATTGCTAATTGTAAGCACTTTCAATTCCGTCATCTCAGCTCAGTTGGGATGCTTTAGGACTTGCGTTAATTGATTTTACTTTGTGACTTTAAGAAGAATCCTACTGCTGGAAAAATTAAAGATATATTACTTCTTCTCCATCGTTTTCTGTTGTTTCCAATTCTAGAAAAGAAAATATTATGATTATATAAAGTGAGCAATGGTTCTGTCTACTAGAGACGGGTCAAAACGCATTGTGGTTGATAACTCTTCTTAGTTAATGTTTGTGATGTTACTCTGAGTGTATATCCACACCGGACAGGCTTGAAAAATATGCCTGGCCACAGTGGGAATCGAACCTACGACCTTTGGATACTAGCCCAATGCTCTGCCAACTGAGCTACGCGGTCAGGTTACACTCAGAGTAACACCACAAACATCATATTCACCTGAGTACATAATACCAACATAGAAAAAAAATCATAACTCTTCTTACTGTGAACACCAGCGAACTAGGAATTCCCCAGGACATGCCTGAAATTCCCCAACATCAAATGGCAGGAATTTAACCACGGTCACAGGCCAATTTACACTCACAACTTTTGCCTAAAACTGTCGCATGCAACCTGCTCACAATTTGAGTTGTACTGTGCGAATCAACACAAAAGTCACCCATGACAACACAGTATGCTTGATTTACTCAGTACAACCTGAAGTTGCAAGCAGGTTGCATGTAACAGGTTCAGCCAAAACGTTGTGTAGTGCAAATCATCCTTTAAACGGGTCAGTATGTACACTAACCAATATTATTCGCACGGGCCCAGACGTCAGGATCTTGTGTGATGTTCGTATTTAGAGGCAAAACCGTAGTGCTGTTTTGTTGGTTTTCTGGTAACTCTGCTTCGCCATTCACTTCGGCAACTTCACTTTGACCAGTGGTTGCATTCTGTTCTACAAAATCTTGCGTGGTATTTCCGTCTTCATATTGGTTAGCCAGAATATTCGCACGGACCCAGACGTTAGGATTTTGTGTGATGTTCGTATTTAGAGGCAAAACCATGGCACTGTTTTGTTGGTTTTCTGGTAACTCTGCTTCGCCATTCACTTCGGCAACTTCACTTTGACCAGTGACTGCATTCTGTTCTACAAAATCGTGCGTGTTATTTCCGTTTTCGAACTGGTTAGCCAGAATATTCAATCCTGCTCTGTTCAAAGAACCATTTTCAACTCTGTTATTCTCTTCTTCAATTGAGATACAGTCATCATCTTCGACACCCGAAGAACTGTCTGTTTCTACAAAACGAAATATTTCTCTTGAAATGTTTAGAGTGAAGCCTTCCCCGTACTCTCAGAATTGACTATGCTAAAAATTTTAAACTTTATTTATACTGGATATATCAGTTTTAAACTGTTCCAGGTTTAGTGATCGGTTATCTGTCCAGTGGTACCACAGAAGGAAACCAGAGTACCAAGAGGAAACATGAGATGGTTGGTAGAGTCAAACTGGAAGCATTCTTCTCGCATAGGACCGAGATAAAATTATTATCAGACAAACTTACCAGTTGACAGAAGCTCACTGTCAATTTCTAAGGCTTTATTTTTCGCGTTCTCCGCTAGTGCAATATTTCCTGCGTCCAGCGCTACAAAATGAATATCCTAGAATAACAATTGAAGAATGCGATTATAATTTATGACAACAATACCAATGAACAGCCGCAATGACAGCGTCAACCATTATCATCATCATCACCACCATCATCATCACCACCATCATCATCATCATCATCAACATCACCACCATCATCACCATCATCATCACCATCATCACCACAATCATGATCACTTAATCACCATCAGCACCATCACCATCGCCAGAAACAACATAGTTACCATAAATAAGTCAGCAGCCCCAATATCAACCGCAAGCATGAACGCTTTCTGAAACTTTTTATACCTAGAACGATACGAACATTAGGAGCAACGAAAGGGAAGACCTGAGTATTTTCAAGTAACTATTGGGTGCTGTCAACCATGACAACCTAATATTCTCCTAAGTAAATGAAGGGCTCAAAATGATTGAGGATTACCTCAGTAGATGGTAGAAAAATCTTCTCGACCACCGACTTAATGGTTCACGATACTGGAGAACAACTACATCGTTGATCGGCCTGGAAGGTGTGTAGAAACAGCCCAAAGTTTCTTCCAGTAAACCTAGATAAGTAAGAAACTAACCTTATTTGTACTGGATAGCTTTATTATATCAGTTCTAAACTGTTCTCCCTTGAGGTCCAGTAAGGTTATCCAGTGTTACCACAGGAGGAAACCTAAACTAAACTAACTTTATTTATACTGGATAGCTCTTGCAAACTGTTCTTCTTAGAATCCTGTAAGGATCATCTCTTATTGATTCAGTGTTACTACAGGAGGAAACCTGAACTAAACAAACTTTATTGATACTGGATAGTTCTATCAGTTCTAAACTGTTCTTCCTAGAGGTCCAGTAAGGGTCATCTCTTATTGTTCCAGTGTTACTACAGGAGGAAACCTAAAGACCTAGCGAAAACCTACAGTGTTGGCAGAGTGAAAGAGCTCTTCTCACTAAGGTGAAATTATAATGGGACAACAGCACATTGCAGCAATTAAATCCGCGTCAGAAAAGTGAAATTATGCACAGGAACTAACAACTGTACGGCCAAACCCCAAGACTAACCTTCCCTCTTATCAGTCAGTGGAAACTTCAATAAATAATTCATCACAGCAGAGAGACACGCAAAGCAAGAACTGCCATCATCATTCCAGTTTATACTGTTGACGAAATTCACAGCTTGTTCAGCTTGGTTGTGTTTAATGTATTCTTCAATAATTTCTCGAGGTCCAATGCGACCAAGAGTCAGTGAGCCCAGCTCTATCCTGAAGTTACACAGCAAGCCTCTATATTGAAAACAAGAATATACAAGACGACTGGTTTACACCTCCAAGTTTTTTTTCAACAGAGGTTGATCACAATTATAGCATGGTTTCTCAAAAACACTGAGTACTTGACGATGTTCCTTACCCATCTTGAAACACCATGAACATATTATCACTGCAAGCCACGTCACCGTCACTTACATAATTGAGAGGGCTGTCACATGACCATACTGCATGGGACAGTTTAATATCTCTGAAAGGCAAATTACACATAGCCAGTGAAACATGAATATTTATACTGGATAACTAGCTCTATCAGTTCTAAATTGTTTTCCGTTCTTCCTAGAGGTCCAGTAAGGGTCATCTCTTATTGATCCAGTGTTACTACAGGAGGAAACCTAAATTAAACTAACTTTATTTATACTGGATAGCTCTATTAGTTCTAAACTGTTCTTCCTAGAGGTCTAGTAAGAATCATCTCTTACTGATCGAGTGCTACTACAGGAGGAAACCTAAACTAAGCTAACTTTATTTATACTGTACAGCTCTATCAGTTCTAAACTGTTCTTCCTAGAGGTCCAGTAAGGATTATCTCTTATTGATCCAGTGTTGCTACAGGAGGAAACTTGAACTAAACTAACTTTATTTACACGTGACAATAGCTCTATCAGTTCTAAACTGTTCTTCCTAGAGGTCCAGTAAGGATCATCTCTTATTGATCCAGTGTTACTACAGGAGGAAACCTGATCTAAACTAACTTTATTTACACTGGATAGCTCTATCAGTTATAAACTGTTCTCCCTAATTGTCCAGTAAGGATCATCTCTTATTGATCCAGTGATAATCAGTTCTAAACTGTTACCTTCAAAACTGACCTAAAATATTCGGACATTCGGAAAATTCGCGATTCATTTTGATCTTCGCCAGCAAGTTGGAGGAGAACTGGTGCCAACGCCATATCAAAAACCTACAAAAAGCAATGTTCCAATGAATGTTCTTTTTCTCCCCACAAACTATTGTAGTACGACTAACACTGCCTAGTACCTGGATATCGCCTTGTAGACTAAAAATAAAGACAACTGAACCGGCTGGATGCCAAGTTATTTCAGATGGAACCTAGGAACATGAAATTTAAGACATTTTAAGTGAAACCTCTGTGACCCAACCCGGCTGTCCTGGACAGCTTGTTCACATTGGCATCAATTATTTCAATTTATAAAGTTCAAAGAATAAACTAACAATACATACAAAAGGTATATTTCTTCTTTGTGTCACCAGTCTATGACAATCGTACACAACCTAGGAAAACAAAACCAACAGTCGATTTCAAATACTCTATCATGTCATGGGAGGTTTTTTTAAGCACTATCGCGCAGCAGATGATGGTGAACCTGCAGTTATCAGAGTGAGGAAACGATGTTCATTCTTTTCATTATATTTAGTAGTCTCGTGTTTGGTTGGAAATAAATATAATTGAAAGATGTAGTTGATTGAATTTGCCATCTGCTACAAGTGTGAAGATTTCTGATGTTCACCAGCATCTTCTGGCGGTAACGGTTACCAAGATCCACCAATGGCATAACAGCTTACCAAACTCTTGTCTTTACAGCCCAGTAAAAGTTTGTCCTCTGCATTATTCCAAGCCACACATGAAACGGCAGCTGCAATGACAATTTATGTCGTTTTATTAAACCACTTCTTACCGTTGAGAAGTTTGCGATAAAATGTTTATACCTTGCAATGAAATAGACGTTGCACTAACTCGTTTCACCTAAAATTAAAAGGAATAGTCATATCAATCCGCTATTTTTGTACGTAAACCTCTGAGAATAAGCTACAGCGGTTTGTGTCTGAACAGTTTTGAAAAGATAAAAAAATTTCGACGTTTCAACTGACGGAGTTTTATCTTTCCATCATTTATCTACGCTGGACTCCACGAACTTATAACTAGTTTCCTTACGCCATTCTTGTAAAATTCGTAAACACAACTATCGATCGTATTATCTCCTTCATTCTTTGGTGTGGATTCAATTGTAAGAATGTGATGTGGGTTTTGACAACTAAAAAAAATAAATTGAGAGGCGTTGGATCATCTCTTATTGATCCAGTGTTACTACAGGAGGAAACCTAAACTAAACCAACTTTATTTATACTGGATAGTTGCATCAGTTCTAAACTGTTCTCCCTTAAAGTAGAGGCCGGTCCAGCAAGGATTATCTCTTATTGATCCAGTGTTACTACAGGAGGAAACCCGAGTTCTCGGAGAAAACCAATGTTTGGTAAAGTCAAACTGGAAGCACTCTTCTCACACGTGACTGAGGTGAAATTATAATCAGGCAACGGGATATTGCAGATTGAATTGAACACATTTTACCTGAATGCGGCGTGTATTGGATCGCATTCCGTACGTAAATAAGCCAACACGTCAAATTTCCCGCTAAAACAAATTTATTATCTTGGTTAACATAAAACCGGTTTTCCAAAACTTTAGTTCCAATTACACCCCCCCCCCCCCTTGTGACAGACTCTTACTAGCCATACAATATATCATACGTTCAAACTGTTGGTTCTCAGTGTAGGTAGTGGTCTTGAAATACACGTCCTTTGTCAGTGGTAGATTCTCACCAGTCTAAACTTCAAACTGTTGGTTCTCAGTGTAGGTAGTGGTCTTGAAATACACGTCCTTTGTGGCAGATTCTCACTAGTCTAAACTTCAAATTGTTGGTTCTCAGTGTAGACAGTGGTCTTGAAATACACGTCCTTTGCGATAAATTCTCACTGTCTAAACTTCAAATTGTTGGTCCTCAGTGCAGGGACTAATTCTTACCCCTTTACACCAATGAGAATTACGTTGGCTCTTGCTCTATCTCCAGCCACAGGGGACCAAGGCCAGGCCTCCTCACTCGCTAATGACCACCATATAGAGACCATGTCTTTACTTGTGTTCAAGCTCAGGCAACGATTCAGCCTTCCCCCCACTTGACCAGGCAGGTCAATAAAACTAATCTGAAAAAATAGTTATGGCAGCTTAATGGTGAATACATGTTCTCAGAAAGGAAGTCACCTTGGCTAAAGACGCACCTTGGGTTCTAACGCTGCTAATTTCTCAAGCTTCCTGAAATCTGTTGGTAGCTTGCGAGCAAAGTTGATACAACAGATTTTTGACTTATCACAAAATGACAGCAACATGAAATCCTCAGCCCAGACACCTACAGCAAAACATAGTTTATCGTGACTGATCGTTGCTTCCACCCATAGTCTTTCGAGACATGGTCTGGAAAGTCAGTAAACTTCAAAGCGGTTATAATGAGCTGTGTGTTTATGTTGAGTCGTACCTTACACCGTGCACATCCATTGTTTTAGGTTTATTAATATTTAAATAGCATAGTTGAATGACTGACTGAAACGTTGCTATTGGATGATTCGTTCATTATACTGAAATACAATGTGCATAGACGCGAACAAAAAGTTAGAACGAAGACTTTAGAGGAGTTTCCAAACCATGTTTTGAAAGACTATGTTCCACCCAACAGGAAAATGAAATGTACCTCACACAGAGCCCACCTGCATTAATTTTGTCTGTGAGTTTGCCACACAGGGATTTATCTATGAATATCTTTTCCACGTCACCAGAATTCTTAGCAACCATAAATGATATCAGAGTGCAGTTACTCAACAAAACCTGCAACAGAGTAAATAATCTTTTTACCAGAGACAGATTTTCATATTTTCGTTCGGGG